TATATATATATATATATATATATATATAAACGAACTTTATGGTTGTACGGCGGTGAAGCATCAGTGCCAACACTGGTGTTGCTGTCTTTGATGATGATGATCCCTGTTGACAGGTTTTACCGCCGTATGTAAGGTTAATTGTTCCTGTTGATTGAGCTATGAGGATCAACTTGAAATGCCAACATTGCAGCCTGTCCCTGACCGTGCCAGGTAAAATGGCTGCCTAAATATGACATCGTAATTTTGAACTGTGAAGCCTGTTCCAAATTCGATGCATATGAAGTTTGGATTGCTATTGTGAACAGGCTATTGTATGATTGACTGGTAGGATTCAGAATGACTCAAAAAGCCAGACAGAACGCACCCGTGCCTGGAAATACTCATGGGCTTTGGGTGAATGAACTACAATAGCTTACCGGAGCTATTGAATTCAAAGGTGTGAAAACTGCCTCAGACTATGAAAGTTGACCCAGCGGGAGATCGATACTTGTATTATCTATCTCAAAGTGAACAATGGAAGAGATACAACACCTGTATCTAACATGTTTTCCATGTTTTACAGGCTTCCCAAGTAAATAATTACCTATTCACAAACCTGAATGGCAAATTTACTGCATGAAGTTGTCCACCTTGAGCACATTCCACGCTAACTTGCGATATAAGCATAGACGACTTCTAGAATTTTGGTTTTAGAATTACCGCATCAGTCGTTGATCCCTGTTTTTATCTCGATCAGGCACTTACTAACCATAAAGTCCTCGGTTCGAACCCAGTCCTGCGTCTCGACCGCCCCTGTCCAGGCTTGAACATTCTGACAATATCTCAGACCTCACCCCTCTTTCGGGAGGCATGACAACTAGCTTCCGAAAAGGTTACAACCGGATGGCTTTCAGATGCTAATTTTACATTCCCAATGAAAGTTTCCTTACTGCTTTCCTGGATATGGACATAATATTTCGTGTCGTTTTTTTTCAAGCAGAAGAAAGAGCCCTTTAAAACCGGATTACATCCGATATAAAGATATGGGGCTCATGAAACAATTGATATTGCTCTCTTCAAATCGGTTTATTCTGCAGTGAGCAGGACGTTTATGTGGTTTCACGTTTACTGAAAGGAAGTAATAAGAAGCTTGGTGGGTAGGTCCTACAGCTGCTACTGGACTCTGCTCAAATCTGTTACACTTTTTTCGCGAGGTCTGATCAGGTAAGGTGGTGCATCTCTGTCGAGTTGCTATAATGAGTTTGGAAAAATCGTACGGAAAACAAGGGTAGGCGACAGGGAAAATAACTCGTACAGATGATATGGAAATTTGGTTGACAATACTATGGCGATTTTCTCTATCCCCATGAAAGCAAGAGAAGTGCTCGGTTCCGTCTCCACTTTTGGATTTGAATATCAAAAGAATAAACTGATCGCGCGGATAGATTCGGTGCAAAAAGGATCGTATGAAACGAACCCCATCTAGTGGAAGAATGAATCTTTCCTAGGGTGATAGATCACATGAAGGGTGTCGGATGACATCTTTCTGGAACCGCCACATTTCTTTCAGTTTGCCACATTCAATTAGTGAATGAATGAGTGAATTATGTAGTGTACTTATATTCCTCACGTCACCTCTAATATTTTCCTCTCCCACTTTAATTACTCTGGCAGGTGTACACTAAAATGGAAACACCAGGCCCGAGTTTTACTTTTACCGTTTCTGGTGCATATCCCCTTCTTATCAGTCTTTGAGGGCTTTGCATCGTATCCCAGATGAGTTCGTTTCAGGAAACACTTCTCGACTTATATCCACTATGATACCGGGGTTTTGTAGAAGCAAGAGTGCAATACTATGTAGACAATCGGCCTAATGTGGTTTAACCACATTCATTATTCTTGTACACATCCTAGCACTCTTCAAGGTGCTGCAGTCGAAGAAAATTGCTCCTAACGTTGTACTTTTTCACCTGTGATTTTTTAAATTGCAGGAATCGACAGCCCACATGATGTTTCTGCCATATTATCCCACGCGGTTGATAGCCAGCGATTTGTAACTGCATTTCCTAACGGAATGGCATATACCACTGGTTACCGAAGTGGATGAACAATGTGTTCCAAATTAAGGACTTCAAGTAGCTTGCTAATGACTCTTAAGTTGATGCGGAAAGCGCAAGCGATGTGAAATACTTTTGTCCTTTTTCTGTTTAGTTTTCTCACGCTCGCTTTGTTCGATTAGTCTGCTCCAAAAAATATACGAATTACATTTTCTGTACCTCACCTAGTTCGGTTACTTGAGCATTGGAGAAAGCACACAGCAGCTAACCGATGGGTCCTACTTTTACGCCAACAACCCTCAAGTCCTGAAGAATTTTGCCACTATTCCTAATGGGGCACCAAAACGCACTGGTGCCCGTCTGGGACGTTTTGCAGCCACCGACAACAGCGTTACTCCACTTGATGGGTTTTCGCTGGTCAGTCAATGGGGAATCGCAAACAAACTGGATAATGTGGGCCTATTCGGTCCTCCTCCACTTATCCCTGAGAATGGGCAGCCAAAACAAGGGTAGGTTTTTTGTTGTACACTATTCTTTGGTTTGAGGAATTTCAATTCACGACCTTATAGGAAGTCTTACAACAACCAGTCAACATGGCTTCAACAACCATCCAAAAAGCTGGAACAGGAGTTGTTTGGACAGCCGAAACGGGGCTTGAACTTTCAATTATATGACAGCATACCAGTCACCCAATCCGGACCTAATTGGTCTCCTGTGAAACCTATAACTTCGTTCAAGGATGTTGAGTTACATCAAACTATAAAAGAAAATATTGAGCGTGCTCAGTACATTCATCCAACACCTGTGCAAAAATATGCTTTGCCAATAATCGCTGCAAAAAGAGATCTTATGGCCTGTGCGCAAACGGGATCTGGGAAGACGGCTGCCTTTCTACTTCCCATCCTCAATCAACTTTTTCAAGAAGAAAAGACGGAACCAGCTGTAAGTTATCTTGCACCCGTTCGTGTTTATGTCCATCAATATTCTAGGTCGTTAACGGCGGAGCTTGTCCTGTGGCTCTTGTTTTGGCACCAACCAGAGAGCTTTCTTGTCAGATATTCGACGAAGCTCGGAAGTTCGCTTACCAGTCTGACGTTCGTCCTTGTGTTGTCTATGGTGGGGCATCTATTTTTCTGCAAGTTCGTGAACTTCAACATGGCTGTGATCTTCTTGTGGCCACACCCGGTCGCTTGGTGGACATGATAAGTCGCGGAAACGTTAGTTTGGATCATGTCAAGTATGAGTGTGTATGTTTTGGTCACCAACCACTGCCAGGTATCTAGTTTTAGATGAAGCCGATCGTATGCTAGACATGGGATTTGAGCCACAAATTCGTCGCATAGTGGAGTTGCATCGCATGCCTCCTGCCGGACAGCGACAAACCTTGATGTTCTCCGCAACCTTTCCAAAGGAGATTCAGGTAGGGCTTTGCTTATCTTACACTGTTTCGTTCTTTTGGTGATAGACACTCGCCCGGGATTTCCTACACTCTTACATATTTCTCGCTGTTGGCCGCGTGGGTAGTACAAATGAGAACATAACTCAGGAAGTATGGAACGTGGCCGACAAGGATAAACCGGAGCTTCTGGTTCGCCTGCTTCAACAAAAAGGTGAGTTTTGTCTGGAGGTTGACAAATATGGGCAAACTTCCTCAGCTCAAGGTTAAAATTCTTGTGTCTAACTGGGGGAGACGACCGCCAGAACAATCAGGAAAACGTTTTCTAACACTTATGAAACGTGCAATTTTTTGAGTACAACCATTCCCTACCTTGTTTCGTGCAGCCGAGGGAGACAGTTTGTATATTGCAAGTGGGCACCACATGCACTATTCACCTTGTCGAGTAGTAGTGAAAAATATCTACTCGGTTTTACTGTCTTGAAAGAAGGCTCAGTGGTGAGAGCGCGAATTTACTGGCCGGAAGGTTCGTGGTTCGCACTCCTGTCTGGGCTCGGGCAACCTGGCAATATGCCGTCCCTCGCCTCCTTCGGGTGACATGACAGGCACCGAATGGGTGTTACAGCTGAACGACATGCTATCGGGAAAGTCACTGATCTCTTTATGACCACATAGCATCACGTAATCGTTTTTCACTAGTTGATATCATTCTGCGTTTTTGACGCATCTCCACTAATCACCCATCCTCCCCAGATCCCGAAGGTCTGGTGCTTGTTTTCGTTGAGACCAAGCGTGGAGCTGATTTACTTGCCAAGTTTCTGGGTCAGCTCAATTTTCCTGTTACGTCCATCCATGGCGACCGCCCACAAGCTGAACGGGAGAACGCCCTCTCTTCGTTCCGTGATGGACTTACTCCTATCTTAATTGCTACCGCTGTGGCTGCACGAGGTCTCGACATACCCAACGTCAAGGTAACCATCGTCGTTTTTTTACTTGCTTCTGGGGCGCAGCTCATCCACCCTTTACGATGTTGAAATGATAAGGTTCCATTAACAGTTAGGTTACTCTGGTTGGTCTAACAAGTTCATTTTTGTGTGGGCAGTATATTAGTAGCGTACTTCAATGTAAAACGACCAGTGGTCAGCTTACTGGAGCACAATAAAGATGAATTAAGTTCTAATTTATTCAGAAGATAACACGTCGCTATCACGACGTAAAATGGATCCATTTAGTTGATACGATAAAGGAGAAACCAAGTTCGTCATCGTATAGGGAATAAAGCTCAAGGAACGCTGGATGCTTACCATAAATCACGTGATCTAAAAAGGAGATCATGCTGAACAGTTTGGCGGAGAATAATTGTGAATTTCAGCAACATCTTGTTTCCATTCCTTTCGTGTGTGCTGATGTTTGATATTCCAGGTAACGGGAAAGTGACATAATTAACTTCTTTGGGTCAAAAGACAATGATTAGACTTTGTCACAACTTTACTTCGAACCGTAGAGACTGCATTGCTTTTGTTTCCATTTTTAGTTCCGCAGGACAGTTTGATGATAACCCTATATGAGGTGGTAGTCACCCCAGGGTTTGCGTATGCATACCGTCGTCCTTCACTCTGACCAACTTTTCCTCTGTTCAGCATGTTATCAACTTCGACCTGCCGTCGGATATTGAAGAATATGTGCATCGCATTGGACGTACTGGTCGGATGGGGCAACCAGGTTCGGCAACCTCGTTTTTTTCGGATCGCAATCAAAATGTAGTTCGGGATCTGGTTGAATTACTGCGCGAGTCCAAACAGTCCGTTCCTGCTTGGCTGGAGGCACGCCTGTCCTATTCGACTACTGGTGATAATCGTCGATCCAAGGGGAATAACTCTTCCAAACGGTTAGCTTACCCACATTTTATCTCTTTGGTTTATTTCAGTATAACTTATTAAGATTACTGTGACTATTTCCCGTACATATACAGTGTTCAAGTATAGCTTATCTACAAGAAAATTCAAAGTCCTTATCTTCAATGCCCATTCCTCAAAGGCAAACCCTTCTGTGGGACGAACGATTTCTTCTCCACTTTACCCAGTGGCATCTCGGAGAACTCGCGTAGTTTGAACTATGGAACAATTGCTGGATTTAACGCCCAGCATGCTATCGGGAAAGTCACTGATCTCTTTATGACCACATAGCATCACGTAATCGTTTTTCACTAGTTGATATCATTCTGCGTTTTTGACGCATCTCCACTAATCACCCATCCTCCCCAGATCCCGAAGGTCTGGTGCTTGTTTTCGTTGAGACCAAGCGTGGAGCTGATTTACTTGCCAAGTTTCTGGGTCAGCTCAATTTTCCTGTTACGTCCATCCATGGCGACCGCCCACAAGCTGAACGGGAGAACGCCCTCTCTTCGTTCCGTGATGGACTTACTCCTATCTTAATTGCTACCGCTGTGGCTGCACGAGGTCTCGACATACCCAACGTCAAGGTAACCATCGTCGTTTTTTTACTTGCTTCTGGGGCGCAGCTCATCCACCCTTTACGATGTTGAAATGATAAGGTTCCATTAACAGTTAGGTTACTCTGGTTGGTCTAACAAGTTCATTTTTGTGTGGGCAGTATATTAGTAGCGTACTTCAATGTAAAACGACCAGTGGTCAGCTTACTGGAGCACAATAAAGATGAATTAAGTTCTAATTTATTCAGAAGATAACACGTCGCTATCACGACGTAAAATGGATCCATTTAGTTGATACGATAAAGGAGAAACCAAGTTCGTCATCGTATAGGGAATAAAGCTCAAGGAACGCTGGATGCTTACCATAAATCACGTGATCTAAAAAGGAGATCATGCTGAACAGTTTGGCGGAGAATAATTGTGAATTTCAGCAACATCTTGTTTCCATTCCTTTCGTGTGTGCTGATGTTTGATATTCCAGGTAACGGGAAAGTGACATAATTAACTTCTTTGGGTCAAAAGACAATGATTAGACTTTGTCACAACTTTACTTCGAACCGTAGAGACTGCATTGCTTTTGTTTCCATTTTTAGTTCCGCAGGACAGTTTGATGATAACCCTATATGAGGTGGTAGTCACCCCAGGGTTTGCGTATGCATACCGTCGTCCTTCACTCTGACCAACTTTTCCTCTGTTCAGCATGTTATCAACTTCGACCTGCCGTCGGATATTGAAGAATATGTGCATCGCATTGGACGTACTGGTCGGATGGGGCAACCAGGTTCGGCAACCTCGTTTTTTTCGGATCGCAATCAAAATGTAGTTCGGGATCTGGTTGAATTACTGCGCGAGTCCAAACAGTCCGTTCCTGCTTGGCTGGAGGCACGCCTGTCCTATTCGACTACTGGTGATAATCGTCGATCCAAGGGGAATAACTCTTCCAAACGGTTAGCTTACCCACATTTTATCTCTTTGGTTTATTTCAGTATAACTTATTAAGATTACTGTGACTATTTCCCGTACATATACAGTGTTCAAGTATAGCTTATCTACAAGAAAATTCAAAGTCCTTATCTTCAATGCCCATTCCTCAAAGGCAAACCCTTCTGTGGGACGAACGATTTCTTCTCCACTTTACCCAGTGGCATCTCGGAGAACTCGCGTAGTTTGAACTATGGAACAATTGCTGGATTTAACGCCCAGAATAAGCAAGTTGCCAAAGAGAAGATCCGAATGATATCTCAATATGAAGTATCTGTTTGATGAGGTTATTAGACAATAGACTACTTTCACGTCGCACGTGATCTCTTAAATCATCGTCACCGTTCTCATCTAGTGACCAAACATACTCAGGCCAAATGATAAGTTCGGTGACAATAACGAAAGAGCCGTTCAGTGTTTTCGGCCTTCCGGCATCAGTTGACTTCAATTGTAGGATAAAATCTGGAACTTGAGAATTGAGGACTTCATCACTCTCCACGTAATACGTGTAACGTGCATAGGAGCGAAATCACCGCGTTTGTTGCTTGTACCGGTACATTCGACAGTGGTTGCATTCGGAATTTAATATCGGTTGAGTTATTGTTCATGTACCTTCATGTGTCGTGTGCAGCTTACTTTTCGTGCCCGTTTTTTTGAAGATTATGAAGTCTGATGCCCGATACCATTCGCGAACCTCTTAAACGTCGTCACTGGAGATCTGATGTGTGTGGGTTGTAGTGAGCTCTATCGTTTTTCAGCTAGTGACGTGTCTTAACCCTGTCGACTTCAGAGTTTACTAGATAAACTTGTCTGCTGGTGGCTTATTAGTGACCTTTTTACTGGTGTTTCCGCTCAGCTGGCTGTATTGTCTCATCTTATGGATTCCAAGCATCACTTGGTGACTGCCTGATGCCATCGACTTTATCAGTCTGATTGTAACCAGTTCACACTGTCATTTTTCCATTATCACCATACCAAGACAAATTTCGCCATGACTGTTACTCACACCACCACCAAGCTAGCGTACTGCATTCCGCAGGAATGTATGAAAACGTGTTCTTCATAAGCCTGTTGCATTTATTCCTTGCTTCCGGAATGTACGTCGTTTTCGTACTCTCAGTTGTTAGTGAGTGATAGGCGAAATGTATGGAAGATATTTTGTGTATATACACTGCTCAGCTTAGGAGGCTTTATAGTCTTGCTGGTCGTACCTTCGCAGTTCTCATCTCAAAATAGCGTGTCTATCAAAATATGTGTCATTGCTATCTGTCCATGGGCTGCCCGATATTTAGTGGCGGGTTACTGGATGGCCTGTGTACTCGCGATGTAATCTGTTATTTTGCGACTAACGAGTGGATTATGGTTGTGAGTCATCAGCCCAATCACGTTCTCCGCATTTCTCTAGACGTTATCGCTTCGTTTCGCCAGCTAAATCAGTGACTGTATGTTCTTTCCAGGCGGGCCAACTACGCATCGCTAGATTACCGACAACATGGAATCCGTGGGACTAGCTTCGTCAGCACCGTCTCAATGGCGAATAACAATAGCATTCCAAACGGTGGATTTGGCTTGCTGGGTAACTGTTCGGTACCACTGGCTGCTGTTGGCAATGGTCCCAGGTATCCACAAAATACCGGCTACAGTGCTGCATATCATCCTGTCAGTCAGCAACAGCAGCAGCAACAACAACAGTCAGCTCGATTCATGTATCGTAATGGTCCAAACTATTTGGGACGTGGATCTAATTTTGGGAGCCACTTGGAGCAACAACCTCCGCCGATGCCGCAACCACTTCCATTATTTCCACCACAACATAGACCTCAAGTAACTCACCCCACAGCTCTTTTACCAACCGGAGCACCTCCAGCAGCCATGATGCATCAATTTTTGGCAGCTGCAGCAGCAGCTGGTCTCACTCCAGGTCACGGAAATGTTGGTTCTGCGAATGGGCAACCTGGAACAGGGATTTCTGTCTCCACGGGCGGGTACAGCGGCCATATTGCGCATGGTGCCGCTTTCCCCACTGCTACATACCAGGCGTTTCATCCGGCGTCCATATTTTCTGCGTCAAACCCACTCCCGGGTCATCCGGTTTCATCACACGCCAGAGATGGTCCTGCAACTGCTGTGGTTTTCCCTCCTTCCGCTGGAATGTTTCCGACAGTCAATTCTGGTACTCTGGGAGGAACGGCTCCGACTTTCAGTACCACCAACTCTGCCGATCATCAAGCTTTACAGCAACCACATCCCGCTGCGGCTCTAATACCGAACAGTTTCCACTTATCCTATTATGGGCAGCAACCGTTTGGTCCTGGATCCGCTGCACCACAACGTCAGTCGCCCCATCAGCAACAGGCTGCAGTTGCAGCGGCAATGGCAGTCGCAGCAGCCATGTCTAACGGCGCACAACCGACTGCCGCTGGCATAGATCCTTCAGGGGCGATCTCTGTCCAGCCAGTTCATACGGAAAACCCGATACCGGTGGAAGGCACGACAGCTTCCAGCCCTTCTGCCGGTTCTGTCAAAGCTGGGGCTGTGGTTCAACAAGCCTACAGAGGAAACGGTATGGGAGAATGGTGGCCAGCCCCAACTCCCACTTAGCCGTCACTTCATGTTTGTTGTATCGGGTTCTTCGTTCATTTTCCAGATTCATTCAACTTTAGTATTTCTGCTGGTGTAATCACTTCCTTTAACACAGCAGCAGGAGACCTTCAGACCACGGGGATCCCATAGTGTTCTTGCGTCATCCTACACGTTTTTCCTTTATCACAATTACTAGGGCAAGCTTCCCCGTGACACCTGAACTAGTTAGTCTGTTTCCATTACAGTTTTCCTATAACTATTATTTACCCGAATGCTCACTTTATATAACCACATTTGTTGTAACGTTAACGTGGCCTCGCACCACGACTGCTGTTTTACCAACTGACTCTACTGACTACTCGCCACGTTCACATTGTTTTTGGTTCATTCTCGCTGGTATCACTCACGAGCTGTCGTCAATAGCGTTACCATCTCTAGCAGCAACAAACGATTATAATCACTCTGTCGACTAGATGCGTCTAACCGGTTTTCTCCGTTTATGTTCACTTGTTTTGTTTTTCTTTGTCTTGGGTTCACACGTGTCCATCATGCTTTTTAGGAACCAATTGCGCGTCTTTATTGTTGCTGTTTTAGTTTTTCTTTCTCTGCTCGCTGAGTCCCAGAAAAATCTGACGGAAGTTTATGATCCAGCTTTGCTCTGGACCTGGGCCTTCCTCATTAACTTTACTATGTTATCACCATTATCTTTGCCCGCCAGTCGCATTCGGTACTTGAAACTCAGGCCACATGATTTTCTTCAAGCTATTTCATATTTTCACGAGTTCCAAATATGTGTTTTTCTGTTTTGCACCGATATGCATTCAGGGTTACGCGTTGGGAAACACATGTTGCCGGTCAAAAGTTCTCACCAGTCGGTCGATTGTATTTCGGGTCCCAGCCGATAGCTCTCTTGAGTTGCTTGACTCGAATTACCGTTTTGTCTATTGTCAGTTTTTGAGTTAGTCACTTGCACGCACATTGATTTTTGGATATTGTTTCCTTGTTTACCTTCATAACTCGCATCCTTTCCACACACACATCTTGCTTCTTTCAGACGTTATTCTGAGATTCGTGTGATCCATTACTATTGCGAGCGCCACAGAGACAGTTTTTTGAACGCAGTTTCTTCGCCTGACTCTATGCAGTGGTCACGTTTGACGCGTCCTTGGATATTTCAGTGCTTTTTTGCGGTTAGAACACATCCTAAACCAAAAACTCAGACGATTAGACTTATTTTGCTATCTCTCTCAAGAGTGTTTTTCAAGTCTGTCGCAGCTCTCAGGGTTTATTACAGAAGTCAACCGCAATCATGTTGAATTTGTTACCATGCTGATGCCTGCATTTTTGCTGCGATCCGGCTTTGTACCCGTGCTTACAGTTCCTATGTTTCAGCACGCACCCCCACACACACGTACGTACACTCATGAATGGGCAGGTACAATAATTTCTCCACCTTTGTCTGCCCATGCGCGCCGATCACTACATTTTTTGATACGCGTCTATTCGTTTGGTGTGGTTTTTCGACACCCGAGACTTGTCTGTCATTTGTGACGACCACTTGAGATCAGGCTGTGTAATGGTCCATGTTTCCTTTTGACGTCTCTCATTCCTTGTCCCCCGTCTCTTGTGTTTTTTTAAACTTGTCACTTCCCATGGCCCAGGTATCTCAGTAACGGGCTAGGACTGAGTTTGTATGAGAACGGTAATGAGTGAAATGTTTGTTCTCGTCTTGCCTCGTGTATTATCACTGAACCGTCTGTACTGACGTTCTTCCGTCGGTGGTATGGAAAGGGTATTCGGCTTCCAGGTCTTAATAAGAATGGATGGGGATAGTCGTTTTCTCCATACGGTATTCTTTGGGTTCCAGAGAGTACACCACAGGGCGAATATACATTATAAATAAGAAAACTGATTAACATTTCGTTCATGGCCTGTTTGTGAATAAGGGGATGGGGAGGACGAGATGGCCCAAGTTGTTAGAGCGCGCATTTACTGACCGGAAGCCCCGTGGTTCGAACACGACCTCATCCTCTTGACTTTCCCCGTCTAGGCTTGGGCAATCTGGCAGTATCCCAGCCCTCTTGTTTCCTTCGGGTTGCATGGCACCTAGGCACTGAAAAGGTGTTACGGCTCAACGTTTTTCCTTTTATGAATAAGTAAGGAAATCTGGGTGGGCATTCTAATGGGGTAGCGATCCTCCCTCCTAGAGAGATTGACATAGGGAAGTTTGACTTCCTGAATGTTAGCCCCTGTCGGGGCTTTCATCCTCGCTTCTTAAGTATTGTCGCAATTGAAGAGCAAGCCAAGCTGAGATCCAGCCAGGTTTCCCAGTCCTACATAAAAACAGTCCAAAGATGGATTATTTATGCTACCGCAACTAATGACCAGGAGTCTCTGATGATAAATAAAGAGGTAAATGAATTTACTTGGGATCACACAATTCTTATCCCAATGTGAGCTTTTAGTAATTGATGGAAACTTTCGATTCTGAGCTAACAATGCCAGCAAAAACCTGACTATTTGGGAGTATCCTTAAAATTTTCGGAATCAGTCGGTTGGCTTCTCAGGTGGATACATAGTCCATGAGAGTACGATATCTTTGTCAACTCGTTACCATTTCTCAATGTGGTTCGCCGGACTCTCCCTGAGCTTGTTAAAAAAGATTTATTGTGATATTGATCGGCGGGGGTTCGTCGGTGTGATACACTTACTTTGAAAATAGTACTATTAGATTCGGACATTTTGCAGTGCATATTTTTTAACCATACTCATCGTAGTTGTATCCGCTTCAAATGGAGACGCCTTGAGATTGCGATAGGTATCTATTTCTTAGTGAGTGAAATACATGATTATTTGACCCCACTTTATAGGCCAAGACGCTTTTCTGCTTGTCCCCCTCCCGTAATTGTAGTCTGTCGGTTTCCGATTTGTTTGCTATTCTGCTGCCCCCAAATATCATCTATGAGAACAATGAGGATAGCGAACGGAGATTGTTTTCTGTGGTTGTTCCTCGTATCCAATATACCAGAAATCACATGAAAAAGGTTGAAACCAGGGATACATACACTTAAGAGAAATGGAAACCAAAGGAAAGGGGTAGGTCAAAGGGTCATGGAGCCAGGTGAGTGAAGCCAATGCCAGACATGCTTGTGGGGTCGGGTTTTTCGCGAGCCATTCCAAGTTCAGAGGTCGTACAAGTTTCTTTTGGACGCAAAGTTGTGGATTCAGCAGGCAGATTCCAATCGCCTCTGCGCTCTGCAGGGATGTGCGTCTCAAAAAATTTAGTTCTAAATAGTAGTGGACTTTGCGTTCTATGATTCCGTCATTCTTTTCTTTAACATTGACATTCAGGAAATTTAACTATCCGTTCTCTTCTGAGTCACTAGTAACCTTGATATTAGATGGTCGTTGGCTTGTTCGCCGAGCTGGGCAATTTGATTGCAAACGTTTCATCACCAATCGAAACCTGTAGGTCCCGTGTTGACAGATGTTTTTCATGGTCGAACTAAATAACCAAAAATTAGACGCACTCACTGCATGGTCAACACTGTCGTCCCTACGTGCACGACCATTTCGTACTTGCCGACGAAACTATCAGCACAACAGACGTGCTAAGCAGTTTCAATTTGGTCCATACTAATATCAAGGTTTCCTATAGAGGAAAATGTCGGTAGATCAGGTAGCGTAGATGGTCGTTGGCTCGTTCGCTGTGGTTGTGCACAACCACTAACCCCCCGCTACACACCACTACGCTCCCCAATAACGCACGACAGCTTGTACGCAGGACAGCTCCTCACCGTATAAATTACAGTCTTCTTCCATCCCGATGGTATTCATCACCCAACCCGAAGGGAAAAATTTCGCAATCTTGTGAGCGGTGTACCTGAAACAAATGCTAGAAAAGCCTACTTTTGGGTTTAAGGTGATGCTGTCTAGTTTACTTTTTAAGATAGATTTAATACTAAGCTTCCGTGTTTTTGTCAATTACGGGCAATCGGCCTCAGACAATGCTTGTGTATGACAAGGGCCCAGTGGCTTTGGTATCGCCGCTATCATGTGTGAACTACTGGCTTGGGTACTCGGTAGCTTCAGGTTGTGTCATCCCACGTTTGGTAATCGATTCCTCAGCGAAGTGAATTAACAGGCTTAACGGGAGGCTCTGGATCCACGTGTCATACGCAAACTACACAGAAAGCGAATGTTAACTGGTTGTCTTCTCCGTACATGCATCAGCTGGTTAGCTGCCCCTCGACCGATGTTTATCGACTTTTTTGGCGGACCTTCCACTGCACCCAACGCGGCCTCGTCATTATGAGCTGTCGAGGGAGGATATCCACATCAAGCTGACGATGGTGCGGAGCGGATAACGGCGTTATCTGCGCTGGAATTCCTATATTCGATTGCGCTCAACGACGTAACCTGTCCGGATGATTTCATTCAACTGGGATATGAGATTCTGGATTCTTAACAGAGAGTCCTTTTACTAATAACCGCTCGTTGAAGTTGAACAATTGACTTCTTCCTCTTTGTAGTAATCGAACGTCAAGCCTACCTTGCACCACGCCATAATCCGAATCTTTTTATATATAGACAACATAGGGAATTATGGCTGTCAACCACGTTCGTATAACTACCTAATCTGAATCAGCATCAATGGCGAACTATGCTGTGTCATCAGTAGGCAGGTGGATAGGCTCGGCGATAAAAAATTCGAAGCTCTCTAGCTGACCAGACAGGGCGTTTCCGTCGCATCCACTCGGTCAGTTTTAGATTGCACGTATCAGGGAGACCGCCTACAGTGTTGTAAGTTGCAGTGAGCGGAATACTTATGCGACCACCGGCTACCGGCTTGCAATCCCATTGTTGCACATACGCGAGCATACAAACTCCACTTAGCCATCACAACACGATTGCAGTGAGCGATTAGAGACGTAAAAAAAAAACTGAATAGGGGTGATATTGTCCCGTCACTATATAATCCAAAGCTCACACCTTTTTGAATGTGCGCGTACCCTTGT